GACGGTGATGCTCCGTGGAAGTCCCCGGACGCCGTCGTACGCGTTTACTTACTAGGGACTCTAAGTACACCTACCGCCGTCCCGCGCTCCGACCCCCAGTTTCCCCGAGTGTGAGGCTGGCTGCTCCCCCTCCGCCGCGAGCTGGAGTGACCGCCCTGTGAGGCATCCGGCTGCTTCCTCTGGAGCAACCCCAGACCCTAGCGTACTCAAGGGCTCGGGGCTTCCTTGAGCACCTACAAAACGGTAATTCTGTGCAGGGCCCTAAGACGACTGGTAATACTAGCAACTTCAGTATCCGCATGTCATTGCCCTCATCCTTCGCGACAACCTGCGGTGTACGTCTTATAGGCACCCCAAGTCTACAAAGATACAGAGAGGCATAGTGGAAGTCTTAGTTACTTTTCTCCTCGTTGAGGTGAAATACCCAACGCCCAACGTTAAAAGGCGAAAGGCTTATTTCCCCTCACAGTTGTGGAACTTTCAGTGCATAGTTGGCTTCCTCCAAGGCAGGTCGCACATGGCAGTGGGTAACCGTTCATGGCAGTGGAAGACAGCAAAAGCAAGCAAGGAAGAACAAGACAAGCCTCTTTCTGTCCCTTATATTGTATGCACCCTACCAGTATTGGATGGATCCAGCAGTCACCTAACATTAATCCCAGCATTGCACTACGAATCCATCACACTCTAGATTCAGCCACCCCCGAAAAAAGCCCGCCCCCTACAACTGCATGGGGCCTGGGGGCAGGCATCTAGACACAGTCCTTAACAGTGAAGTTAAAATAGCCCGGAAAGAAGGTTACACATTTTAGAAATTGCAGGTCTGGCTGAGAGGCAAATAAACGTTGGGTAAGTGAAGGAGACAAAATCACAGCACATTTGGGTTTACTACAAACGGGATAGGAACATACGCCAGGTGCTTAAGAGAACCTCGATAGCTGCAGGGAGGATTTTTCTGGAGGAGGTGGTGTCTAAGCTGGGTTTAGAAGAAGGCTTTGGAGCTTAATGGTGAGTACAAGTGAAGAGCCATAAATGATTCCAGCATTACGGACTGGAGAAGACGAGTGATGGTTGTATTGAAGCTAAAATAAGAGCAGGACCGACACCAAGGACTTTCTACCTTGGGAACTAAAAATCATTCATTTGACCCTGGATTAGGAGGAAGCCAGCAGATTTTAAGTATGGAAGACACACCAAATGTTGTGCTAGAAAAGCTAAGCTAGAAACAGCAGAAGAGTTCAGGGCCAGGTAATTGTGAAATTATGGAAATACGTCAGGGTGAAACACTGTCGTAGGCAGAATAAGGATGCCCTGAAATTTGTCCATTCCTTAGTCCCCAGAACCTGTAAGTATGCTAACATCACATGGCAGAAGGCGCTTTGCAGGTACGATTGAGGACACTGAGAGGGGGACCTTGTGCTGGATTATTTAAGTGGACCCAAACTAAGCACAAGTTTAGTGCAGTAAAAACAGAGGTCTTCTTTTACCTAGTGTAGACTTGTGTTCCTCCTAGTTGTCATCCTTTAAAAGTGCGGTGGGGGGCTGGGGATTTAGCTCAGCGGCAAAAGCGCCTGCCTGGCAAGTGCAAGGTCGTGAGTTCGGTTCCCGGTACCAGAGAAACCCCCCCCCCCAAAAAAAAAAAAAAAGTGTGGTGGGGCACACCTGGGCCACGAGCCCGACTGTGGGAGACCTCTAGACACTGGGAACAGGCCCTGGCAACAACAACAAGAATCGGCAGAACTGCCAGTCATCTAAGTGAGCAAGGCAGTGGGTCTTCCCTGAGCGCTTCCAGAGAGTAACTCAGCTGTACTTACACCTTCATTTATCACTTACAGAACTATAAAATAATAAACTTGTGTTGTTTTAAATGCCTAAGTTTGTAGTAGTTTGTTATGACAGTAGTAGCAGCTAATATAGTATAGATGGTGAGGGCTCAACCTAAGTAGATGACAAAGAGGTGGATGTAAGTCCTGCACAGGCCCTGGAGATTGATGCCATGGGAAGGGAGCTATCCAGGTCATTTTTTGGGATTTTGTTTTGTTCTGTTTGTTTTGGTACTGTGAATCGAACTCAGGACATTGTGCTTGCCAGGTAGGCACTTGTGCCACTGAGGTATATTCCTGGCCTAGTCCATGTTAGTTTTAAAGGTTTTGGGATTGGCAGGCTGTGTTCAGTAGTGGGAGGGACAAAGGCAACTACTTTCAAAACACCCTACAGTATGCAACTCAATTAGGATTGAGTTTGTTCACTTCCGGCCTCCCCCTCTTCCAAATATTTAGAAACTATTCTTCAGTGCCCATGAGCAGTGATTTTGTCACTGCCAATTGAGAGTTCTAGTGCTGGATCTTCCTATGTAAATTGAGTGTCTTTGGAGAAAGCACAGACTTTAAGGAGGCTTGCTTTCTTTTAGTCTGTGAGATGGAAAGAGAAATCTTATCTGTGTGATGGATGTGAATCACAGAGGATGTCCTGTTGTCTGAAAACTCAATTCTGGAAACTCACTGTTCCACAATTTCAGGGTCCCTTCCCCATCTGCCCATACAGCAGCACTCCACAGAGCAGCCTGTACCTTGATCACGTTGTGACGTTCCACAGCTACAGCTTCCTGCCCGTGGTCCCCGTGCTTTCCTCTCCCTTTGTCTAGATTTGAACTTCTCCCAGGGGACATTTTTCCTCATCCAACCTGAACCAAAGTCAGGACAGCAGTCACTTCCTTGTTAGTGCTTCCTAATCCTTTGCCCACAGATCTTTCCAGGGACTGACCTAGCGGATCCTTATAGCTACCTACATTTTTCATATGGGATTCTTTTAGAATTGGAAAGTACGAAACTTGGTGCCTCTGCAGATTCATAAACTCTAACCCCAGCTGCGTCTTTGTGTACCCTGGACATCCTGTTGCACAGTGGAAGACGAGGCTTAATCTTAATGTCCCAGGACATCGTTGCCATGCTCTCACCCTTTTGGTCCTTAATACCTGATCTCCCCTCCTAGTTCATGGAAAATACAGAAATCAAGAGAAAAATTTTCAATCTCCTGCCCCAGGCACCAAAAATGCCATCTGCATCCACACTCATCTTGACTTTCTTTCATCTCCATGAATCAAAATAAAGTTGTTCAACAGTTCCCTGAGCCCTCCTTTCTATCTCAGGGGCCACATTTCATTAATTATCCTTTCTTTTCTTTTTATCCTCGGCAAATTCTGTACTTTCAATGCAGAACGTAAAAATGCTAAAGTTTTAAAAACAATAATACAAAATTTGTAATTCTCCACATAATCGACTGCCTCTTCTCAGCACAACCCCAGGACTAATGGTAGAAACAACGCAGAGAAGCCCTTGCCTTGTGTTTACTTCTGAGAGAGGCGGGAAGTGGTAGGGGGAGGGGCACCTTTGTAACATTAGGCATCTTTTATCATTGTCTTCAAAGTGCTATTAGTCTTTAATGCCTTCAACTTTGGTAAAGAACTAGATAGAGCTTTGCTTTATCCTCTGTATCTCAGAAATTAGCAGGATAATTAATTTTCCTATTTTACTTGGATTGATAGATAATAGAGTCATTTTGTTTTCAAGCTATCTCTTGCATATTTCCAATTTGGAGTAAAAAAAAATAAATTAGAATCTAGATGCGCCTAATAGTCAATGACAAAATGATATTTTTAAATAATTGTAGCTATATCTGAACTGGTAAATCCTTTGAACAAGAAAGTCCTCAAGCCCTATAAATTACAAATAGAGATGGCTGTTACTGTAGCTGCATGCCAGAAATACCTCTTGCATGCCTTCTGGTTTTGCTTCTACCCAGATTAAGTAAAAGTACTCACTGTAGACAAAGTCATGAAGATTTTAAAGATCTGCTTCAGTTTTCTCGAGTACTGTTCTCTTGTTTCAAGCCTCTGTTTTGCCTCTTCATTGACAGCCTCCTCTCTTTGGGTGTGAGAAGTAACTGCATGGCGCTGTGATATGTGCAATAAAAATGTGTGCGGGGAAAATGTTGTATGTCTGTTAATGTTTCCCTCCTTTTATCTTTAAAATAAAAAAAAAAAAATGTGTGCGGGAGTAGTCTGGGAGGAGGAAGGAAGTGACTTGCATTCCCTGGGGGAATGGGCAGGATTTCCCAAAGGAGGCTGCATCCAACCAAATCAAAAAGGATTAGCTAGAGCTCTCTGAGCACAGTGAAGAGAGACAAAAGGATACCATTTGACATTGTCCAGCAGGGTAATGGTACTAAAGCAAGAATGTGCAACTTAAATATAGCCCCAAAAAATGTCTCTGAGGCCTTTGTGTTTTAACTATGTGTTTGCAAGAGTGTACTGAAGAACAAGTCTGATTTATAGCTGTAACTTTAGCCACAAAAATAATGTCTGATAATCCACGGCTTCAACTGTATCTTTTGTCTGACTTTTGCAGCATTATCATAACATCTAATTTTGTCTTTAAAGATGAGTTATGAATGTAATTTTTTTTTTTTTTTTTTTTGAGGCAAGGTTCACTACGCAGTTCAGGCTTGCTGGCTTTGAACTCTCTTTGTAGCTCAGGCTGGCTTCAAACTGGAAGCGATCCTCCTGGCTCAGCCTTCCAAGTGCTAGGATTATAGGCATACACCACCATGCCTGGCCTGAATGTAATTATTATTTAATGCAAACATATACTAATAAATAACATACAATTCATAGACAGGAACAGTGTGTGTGTGCGCAAGTGTGTTGCGGGGGGGATTACTGTATTGGCTTAGGAGCATAGTGGATTTTTTTGCAATGTGAAGAAAAATTTCCTTAAAATATTAAAAGTACATTTGTGGGATAGTCTGTCTCTTTTGGATCTTTATTGTTAAATAAGACTTTTTTTCTTTTACCAGTAAGCTTCCAAGGGAAATGACCTCTTCCCTGGATGCCTCACTCTCCCTAGAACTAGTTTTCCATCTGGTCTTGTGAGAATCAAACCCTTATATTTCTCAGTAGTCAGGGTTATGACTTGTTCTATTTCACCATTCAGAATGAGACTCTGTCCTTCTGAATTCAGATTTATATTGTGTGGAACTTGTCAGCACTCTTAGTGCGGTTGTTTTCTGCTATAATATTGGGTTTTGGGTCTTAGACCATTATTTCCAATTTATGTTCAATTAAAAGCTTATTGCACTCTTGGCCACCTACTATGCAAAGGTATAGTTTCTGAGTTTTTTTAATCTTTGTGCAGAATTGTTGAAACTTTAGCAGTTGTCATCACAGTTTTGCAGAAACTAAAGACTTGATAGTGAGATAAGCAGGCAATGATGAATCACTGTACAGTGTGTGCACCACACCAAGTCCAGGGGATGTGCACTCTGCAAGTGAGCCCTTGCTTCGCCTGCCGAGTCCTGTTGTAGAGCTGCAGTCTCAGAAGTGCCTCATTTCTGGAGCTTCACTCACCTGTACATGAAGCTCCCTTTACTGTGATCACCAAATGGGACACTTTTTCCCCATTAAGGTTCTCATTAGGGGAGGCTGTGAAGTATTGTAGTTTGTCATCTTCATGTCTACTGAGGTAACAGTAGCTTAGTGCATTTCCTGAAAAACATAGAACGAAACCAAACAAAAATACAATCAGATGCTATTTTAAGAATTATCTTTAGTTCTCTGTATATTCTAGATAGTAGTCCTTTGTATGAAGAACAGATGGCAAGAATTTTTCTCACCCTGTGGGTTGTCTCCTCACTCTGTTGGTGGTTTCTCTTGCTGTGCAAGAGCTTTTTAATGAGATCCAGTTGTTAATTCTTTGTGATAGTTCTTGTGCAACTGGAGTTTTGTTCATAGTCTTTGCCTATACTAATATCTTCAAGAATTATTTTCCAGCAGATTCAGTGTTTCTGTTTGAATATTTAGATCTTTGATCTATTTTTATTGATACCTAGTTTTAATTTTTGACGTGTGGAAACCAGTTTTTCCAGCACTATTTATTAAAGAGGCTCTCTTTTTTTCTAGTGAAAGTTTTTGGCAACTTTGTCAAAGATAAGGTGGCTAAGTATGTCTGGAGTTCTTCCTGCATCTTCTAATCTGTTCCATCGATCCTCAGGTCTGTTTTTATGCCAGTACCATGCTGTTTTTATCACAGTAGCTTTGTAGTGTAATTTCAAGTCAGGGATAGTGATGCCCCCTGCCTTGCCTTTGTTGCCCAGAATTGCCTTTGCTACTCAAGGTGTCTTCTAGTTCCAAATGAATTTTATGATCTTCTCTAATTCTGTGAGATATGCTGATATAAAGAATTCAAAAACCCCTCAGAAACCCCAAATTTAAAGACCCAATACAAAAATGGGCATCTGAAATAGGCACTTCTCAGATGAAATAGAAATGGCAAATAAATATATGAAAAAAATGTTCAACATCATTGGCCATTTGAGAAATACAAATTAAAGAACACTGAGGTTCCATCACACCCCAGAAAGAATGGCTGTTCTCAAAAAGTCAACTAATAACAAATGCTGGCAGGGCTGTGAGGATAAAAGAACCTTTTTCCACTGTTGGTGGGGTGTAGACTGGTTCAAGCACTGTGGAAATCAGTGTGGAGATTCCTCAAAAAACTAGGACTAGGGTCCTATTTGACCCAGCTATTTCCTTTCTCAGTATCTTCCTGAAAGAATTAAAACCATCATACCACAGTGATATATGCACACCCATGTTTATAGCAGCATGGATGGTAATAGCTAAATCTTGGAAACAACCCAAATGCCCATCAACTGATGAGTGGATAAGGAAGATTTTTTTTTTTATGCAGTGGAGTACCACTCTGCCATAAAGAAAAGCTTGAGACATGCCCAGCTAAATGGATGCACCTCGAGACTATACTTTTTTTTCCCCCCAGTAACGGGAATCGAACTCATGACCTCGTGCTTGCCAGGCAGGCACTGTGCCGCTAAGCTAAATCCCCAGCCCCCAGACCATACCCTTAAGTGAAATAAATCAGACATACATGTGTAAATACTGCACTGTTTCTTTGGTGTGAAAAATGAAAGTGTATATAAGGACCAAAATGTGTAATAGATACTATGAAATAGCAAGAAATTGTTCAAATAAGAAGGGGAATTGGGGGGGGGAGGAGGAAAGAAAGGGAAAAGAAAAAAAGGAAAAAATGGAAACAAAGGTTTTGTAAATAAGAAGGGTTGAAGGGAGGGTAGAGGAAGGGGAAAACAGAATTAGGTTGTATCATATACAGGTACAAATTCCCTATGACGAATGTGATCATTACATATACCTAAAATGTATCAATAAGCTTAATTTTTAAAAAATTATCCTTAGCTGGGCATGGTGGCACATGCCTGTAATCTGAGGACTTTGGGAGGTTTTGGCAGGAGAATCACAAGTTTGAGCCCAGCCTGGGAAATTTAGCAAGACCCTGTCTCAAAAAAGGGGGTGAGGGTTCTGGCACTAGAAAGGTGGTTCAGTGAGAATGTCCTGGGTTCATTCCTCTGTATTATAAAAAATGATCTTGGCCAGGCATGGTGGCACACCCCTGTAATCCCAGCACTTGGGAGGCTGAGGCAGGAGGATTGTTGCGAGTTCAAGACCAGCCTAGGCTACCAAGTGAGTTCAAGGCCAGCCTGAACAG